TTACAGGATCCTATGGAAATAAAGGTGATACAAAATATCCAGTTTTGAGGTGAATGCAGAAAATCAAAACAGAATGGAAAAATGAATTTAAAATAGTGTAAAATGATATGTAAGTAGCATAACACTACACGGCTCGATACACTGGGACTGCGTAGGAATGTTGCATCCCTTTGCATTTTCTATCGAATTTACCACGGGGAGTGTTCTGAGGAATTGTTCGGATTAATTCCAGCCGCCAAATTTCATGAACGCACATGGCGTCAAAATTCACGATACCATCTGGATGCTTGGCGTTGTTTTATTTAATTTTGACATGAAATGTTATTGTAATTTTATTTAGTCAATTGCATGTCGCCGTAATATTTGCATACCGATAAATTGGTAAAACATACATGATCACACTATGTAATTAGACCTAAAAATGTACCATGTTTTATGCAAATAAATATTTTTAATTATTTATTTAAAATGAACTTAAAAACTGTAAATTAATTTAAAACATTTTTATTGATTTTAATACGATGAGTAGTAGGAGATTGTAAACAAATTTCTCTTCAAATACTTAAATACGTTTTTTTAATCATTGTTCCTTTTTTTAATTTTAGAACTCAGACAAATTTTTGTTTACTTCTATTGTAAATTAATGAAAATATACTCACTCATATTTGAAATTATTTTAAAAATAAAATAGCTTTTTAAATAGGTTTAAAATTTATTTTTTAAACATTTATTTGTCACTAAAATTTTGTGATTAAAATTTTTATTTCGTAAAAAAATATAAACTAAAATAAATTTCTTAAATTAAAATAAATTTCTGAGAATTGTCACGTCAGATTTTCAAGTAGAAAAATTATTATTTCTTGCTAATTCTGATGACAAAAAGTTGTTTTATAAAATAAATTTTAAACCTATTTAAAAAGCTATTTTATTTTTAAAATAATTTCAAATTTGTAAAGTTGCAAGCGATGTGCCGGCATGGAATACTTATTAGAGGCCAATTTGGCGTTCCCTTCCAAGTTGCCACGAAACTGCACACTATTCGATATGTCGACGCCAAGGATTCTGATGCTAGCTGAGGCAGCAAAAGGAGTGCCTTGACACTGAGGAGACACGATGACAAAGGAGTTCTTTTTGCGGTAAGCGCGCAAACCTGAGTCTTCTGGGGATTGAATTGGACTAGATTTAGTAGCCCCCAATCCGAGACTTTGTTCTAATAAAAACGAATGAGTTGCAGGTTGAGAATAGACAAACTTTATTGCTCTATAATTAGATGTGGTACATTATTAGCCTAGTACATATTTTATCCACTAGATGGCGTTAGTATGAAATAGACATTATTTTTATATAATTAAACATATTTTAACAGCACCACTTATCAAAATAATCAAATACTAAATAATAATAAAACTAACGACACTAACTTTGACAATTTAAACATTTTGAATTCCTAATAATTTTATAAAATAGTTGTGTTTGGCACCACTTAAACTTTTCGTTAATATATCAGCAGGCAGCTCAGATGTTGATAGATATTCAATTTTTACAAGGCTATTAGAGACTGCTTCGCGTATGAAGTGGTAGCGAACGTCTATATGTTTAGTTCGTTTGTGAAACAAAGGATTCTCTATCAACTTCTGGGCTCCCTGGTTGTCATTATAAATTATTACAGTATAGTTACAACCAATAATATCAGATAACAGATTCTTTAAATATATTGCCTCTTTACATGCTTCAGCAATGGCCATATACTCGGCCTCGGTACTTGACAAGGCTACAGTTTGTTGCTTCCTGCATTCATAGGATATCACACAGCCTGACAATTTAAAACAAAATCCTGTGTAGGATTTCCTATCTACAATATTCGATGCCTATCTACAATATTCAACTGAAGGAGAGTTCTATCATACATTAACTGAAGAAGAAGATCTATCTGAAAATGAAGAGCCTCCATTGGTGGGAAAGCTTATAATATATATAAAGATATGGCTTTACTAATCTTTGTATTTCAGATGAACCAGAATCTTGGGCTGAAGACATAAGCTATAATGAAGCCACCAACGATCCAGAGAAAGACAAGTGGCAGCAGGCTATGTCTGATGAACTTCAAGCATTTGAGGATAACCAAGCCTGGGAGATTGTTAGTCAAGAAGAGGCAGATAGAGTAGTACAGTGCAAATGGGTGTTCAAGAAAAAGCCAGAAAACAATAACAGTGTCAGGTATAGAGCAAGACTTGTGGCGAAAGGTTACACTCAACAGCATGGAGTAGATTTTAATGAGACCTACTCACCCGTTCTCAGGTATTCTACACTTAGATTATTGTTTGCAATAAGTGTAAAATATAATTTTGAAATCACTCATCTTGATGTAGTTACAGCATTTTTGAATGGTTTTTTTAACAGAAAATGTATACATGCAAGCACCTGCTAATTTAAATTGTCCAAGTAATTGTGTTCTTAAACTTAAAAAAGCAGTTTATGGACTGAAGCAGTCTGCGCGGGCATGGAATGCTAGAATAAATGATTTTTTTGATAGATTTGGATTATAAAAAGTCAGTATCAGAACCATGTTTATACAGTAAAAAATGTACGAATGAGCAGATTATCATTGCAATATTTGTTGATGATTTCTTTATTTTTTCTAATAGTAAGACTATGACTAATGATCTGAAGAAAAACTTATGTCAAAATTTAAAATTAAAGATTTAGGTCAAATAAAAAGGTGTTTAGGCATGAGAGTGAAATATGAAAATAACTGTATACCTATTGATCAGGAACAGTTTGTAAAACAAATTCTTAAAAAGTTTTATATGACTGATTGTAATACTAAAGATACTCCAATGGAATATAATTTGAAATTAGAAAAGGCAGAATGTGTTGACAAACAGTTTCCCTATCCACAGCTTATAGGAAATCTTATGTATTTGTCAGTATTAACACGTCAAGATATATCATATAGTGTGAGCTACCTTAGCCAGTTTAATAATTGTTTTAGTTCAGTTCATTGGCATCATGCCAAAATAATTTTAAAATACTTGCAAAAACTAAATCTTATGGTTTGAAGTTTACTAAAGATACCTGTAATTTAGAAGGTTTCGTAGATGCTGATTGGGCATCGAATATTGTAGATAGGAAATCCTACACAGGATTTTGTTTTAAATTGTCAGGCTGTGTGATATCCTATGAATGCAAGAAGCAACAAACTATAGCCTTGTCAAGTACCGAGGCCGAGTACATGGCCATTTCTGAATCATATACAACGCTTTAAATTCAACAAGTTGTTGAATGTAAAGCGTTGTACAACTTACGCAACAGACCAGAGCTCACGATTCTCCCCGCGGATAAAGGAAATGCTACGGTAATAATGGACACGTCAGAGTATAATTTTAAAATACAACAACTTTTATCGGACGTAAGTACATACAAAAAGGTCAAAATAGACCCTACAACTAATACACTCAAAACAACTACTGATTTAATAAAGAAATACTCCGAAAAATTAGATCTTGACGTGAATTCGACAATACCATCATGTGCCAAACCACCGAGGTTGTATGGGATACCGAAAATACACAAACCAAACGCTCCACTACGTCCTATAGTAAGCCAGATCGATTCACCACCTTATAAGTTGGCTCAACACTTGGCAAAAATACTGTCACCACTAAGAGGACATACCAGAGGACATACCATTTCTTACTGCTCCTGTAAATCCAAGATTCTACAAGCGGTACGTAGACGATACTTTCACAATTTTACCATCTGACAAAGTAACTGCATTTTTAAACCACCTTAATTCCATAAACCCTAAAATACAATTCACAAGATTAGAGGCAAACAATACTTTAGCTTTTCTAGATGTTTTAGTCATCCGAAATCCTGATAACACTATTGGTCATACTGTGTACAGAAAAAATACCCATACCAACCGATATTTAAATGGTGAATCTCACCATCATCCTTCACAGTTAGCTACCGTGGGAAAATCTTTGTTTCAGAGAGCACGAGGGATCTGTGACAGAAAACATCTGGCCGCCGAGCTTCAACACGTCGAGCAAGTACTGCAAGACAACAAGCTTCGGGTCCCGCGCCTATGTCACAGTGACCGAGTGAAGCCAGCCACAGTCGAGCGTGTGCCTGCTGTACAACCCTATGTCAGAGGAGTCACAGACAAGGTTGGCTACATCTTGAAGCGAGCTTCCATTAAAACGTACTTCAAGCCGCTGAAGAAGATTGGTCAATTTTTACCATCCGTCAAGTGTCATATCCCTTTACAAGATGCAGGAGTGTACAAGCTGGATTGTGAATGTGGTCTCTCGTACATAGGACAAACAAAAAGATCTATTAAAACCCGCGTTAAAGAACATATAGCTGACGTGAAGCACCGACGTATCGGGAAGTCTGCAGTTTGTGAACATGTTCAAGATCGTCCCCGCCATTACATTAGATTTGATAGACCACAAATCCTCGCAAAAGAACACCGATTCCTCCCAAGGATGATTCGCGAGGCTATTGAAATTAAAAAACATCCTAATTTCAATAGAGAAGATGGATGGGTGCTGCCATCTGCTTGGGAACCCATAATTAATAAAATCAAATCCAAACCCAAGTATACCACTTCTAGACTTCAAAATACTGTAAGCTCATTCTGCGTAAATCGAACCAAAAATTAATATTAAAAAACTGAAGGTAGCCGGGCTAACTATGACAGCAGGACGTCAAACAACTCAGTCCCCCGTGACCACGGGTGCTGGAAAGCACCTGAAACGTCGGGAATATAAAAATAAGTTAATATACGCGATAAAATCCGTAAAATTAGTTTTATTTAAAACTGAGAATTATCACAAGCGTAGTTATCTGTGTATTCCCGGCACACACAACTGGCACAGTCATATTATTTGCAACAATAATTTTCTTCATATCGTGTACTTTTCTGACTTCCATTAAATTTTCTCTGCATGATGTCATATACTATACTACTACTATACTATACTATACATATACTATACTATACTAGCCCCCGAGTCAATATACCAATCATCCTTATTAAATTCACTATTAAAAAATGCAGCACTAAATGCGTTAACTTGCTTTTCTTTTACTTTAGGACACTGGTTTTTAAAGTGGCCAATTTTCCTGCACTTATAGCATTTTATAACCTTCTTGACATTTGACGTATAATTTGACGTTTGTTTCTCGCCTTTTGTATTCAAATTTTGACCGAACTTACTTTTATGCTTCGACAATAATGCTACTTCCGAGTCATGGTTACCGACTTCGGAACTCATATCAAGCAATTTCGTTTTGATGACATCAGAGTTTATGGCTATGCCGGAATGTTCTATTGCCATGATCATTGGGGCAAACTTTTCTGGTAGTCCCGCCAACAGCAATGATCCAATCAATTCCTCATTAATCTCGAATCATGTGCCTTTCAGTCTTTTTGCAGTTTCCACAATTTGACTCACGTAACTTGTCATGGACTCACAATTATCAAGTCGAATGGATATTAATGTTCTTAGTAAACTGATTTTTTTGGTGAATCCGCTGTCATCAAATAATCTCCGTAGTTTTTGCCATAAATCCTTAACTTTAGTTTCAGTTTTTATATAAACATACAACTTGGGATCAATCGTCATCACTTAAATCCTCAGGAATGGCGTCGATGTCTATACCTTCCAATATGAGAAAATTTCTTGCCGCGAACGCCCAGTCATCAAAGTTCTCGCGTCCCTTCAACTTCGGCACATTTATTAAATAACCGCCTGATGACGACATTGTAACTTGTTTTCTGACACACGATATGAATTTACTGTAAAATTATTTAATTAGTTTTTCACTGGGCCCATAACCTAATAAAAACGAATGAGTTGCAGGTTGAGAATAGACAAACTTTATTGCTCTATAATTAGCTGTGGTACATTATTAGCTTAGTACATATTTTATCCACTAGATGGCGTTAGTATGAAGTAGACATAATTTTGATATAATTAAACATATTTTAACATGTTCAACAAAGACTTGACTTCATACACAAGTTTATCCCGGTCTTCAGCGACGTTTTCCCGAGAAATATTGGCACGGACGGTATATAAGGCATCACCAGTGCTGTCGTCCGCAAGGCAATGAATGTTACTAGTTTGCAACATATCATTGATATGCAGGAGAAACAGCGTTGGTGATAGCACACAGCCTTGTGTAACACCAGCGTTGATAGGCTTAAAATCAGAGCATGCACCGTCTACTACGACCTTGATGCTCCGATCAGCAAGGAAACTGGTGATCCATTTAAACAATTTCTCTGGAAGCCCATAGGAAGGAACTTCGAAAGAAGCGCTTTGTGCCAGACTCGATCGAAGGCTTTCGCTATGTCCAAACTGACGGTCAATACCTCCCGCTTGGACTCTACTGCCTCCGCCAGCCACCAGAAGATCACCAGCTTATCGACCCCGACGAAAACCGTACTGGCGGTCACTAATCAGCTGGTGATCCTCAAGGTTTCTCACGAGCTGGCTGTTTATAATAGATTCCATTATTTTGGAGAACAAGGAGGTGTTGGCAATAGGCCTGTAGCTGGACAGGTCTAAGCGGTTGCCTATTTTAGGGATCGGGTGGACCAAAGCTGTCTTTCATGAATTCGGGACTACGCCTTGGGAGTAGGAGTACTAGAAAATACGCGTTAAAAGCGGTGCCAATTCTGGAGCACACGTCTTCAGCACAATGGGAGGGACTCCATCAGGCCCACTCGTACTTGCTGACGTCCAGAGAGAAGAGTGCTCTACGAACCGAGCAATGTATAAATCGCACATCCAGCATGGAGCACTCACACCGCGGGATGGTCGGCTGTGTGTTCCCCCCGTCATCGAGAGTCGAGTTGGACGCAAAGAGAGAGTTTAAAAGATCGGCGGCATGGGCCAGTGAGTCATCCTCTAAATATACTTCTTTTGAAGTGCACTGGTGTTTACATCCCGAGACGTTGATGCGTCAGCCCAGGCCCGGTAGCGCTCCTGCTTATAGCGTGATGCTATTTTACAGGAGCTACCAAACCATGGCTGGGATCTGCCTCCAATGGGCACCACAGAGGATGAAATAAAAAGTAAAAGTTGGTAAAAAATTACGTACATCCACTCGAATGAAAAAAAAAAACTCACTCATATTTGAAATTATTTTAAATATAAAATAGCTTTTTAAATAGGTTTAAAATTTATTTTATAAAACAACTTTTTGGCATCAGAATTAGCAAGAAATAATAATTTTCATACTAGAAAGTCTGACGTGACAATTCTCAGAAATTTGTTTTAATTTAAGAAATTTATTTTAGTTTATATTTTTTACGAAATAAACATTTTAGTCTCATCTATCGAAAAATAAATCTTTTTTAAAGGAGGGCTCTTAGAAGTAGCGGTACAAATAGAAAGCAAGTCGGTGGTTTACCGCGCGGTCCAATTTCTTGCATTATTGAATACCCCGTTCAATGAAGGAAAAATCGTAGTATATTTTGATGTGTCCATAGTGAAATTTATGACTTCCATTTATCACCTGTGGCTATTGATGTATGATATAATAATAATGTTTTATTGGACAATTACGACCACAGCGACAACGTTTCAATACGTTTAGAGTTATCCTACGCATCTGCTATATTGTACTTAAGCTCTTAATACACAATAAAATATACAGCTCTTGCGTATAAAATCCAGTCTAGGTTTGCACGTATTTTCGGCGACGCAGGGACACTCAATAGTGCATCAAAATAAAAAAATAAATTTCTACGCGTAGATGACGCATGTTTCACGAACGCGCATTTATAGCGTAGATGTCAAGCAGATTGTTGCATTTGTTGCTATAATGTGAGACAAACTCGCACAAGCATACCATTGTAAAGGGGCAACTGAGAGGCGCTTACATGCCACCGTGATATATTTACCACCTGGAATAATATTAATAGTAATAATAGAGTGTTTTAACTAAAATAGGAGTTTTCGATACCAACTGCTTTATATCTGAACTAAAAAAATTGTTCAACTACATTGACTACTGCTGAGGAGTTTGATCACAATTCATCAATATCCCCGTATTTGCATTTCTGTATCGATAGTCGATACTAAATCGCAACTGAACTTGCGAACATGTGCAAAGGTTTATTGGCTGTGACTGAATTTCATTTGAAAGCGAGTTAACGCGCTTTCCTTGTAAGCGTAGGGCAATAAGTCAAAAAAATATTTTTGCACACATTTTAGCTACGACTGAAATTGAAACTCAGATGATTTGCTGATCGTATAATCCGACTACTAAGCCATACCGCCATTCGTTAAGATAAAGGTCTTAATAGCTTTTCTGAATGAAAATATGGTGAGATCAAATGTGTTCCATTTATGCTTTACTAATGATTATTAATAACTACCTAAAATCTTTAAATATTTTTTATAGGATAAGGGTGACAAATGAGCACACAGTCCACCTGTGGTAAGTGGTTTCTGTGGCCCATAGACATCTACATTTATCTTCGATTATGAATCAAAATGCAGATGCGTTGTCACCCGTGAAGACTAAGATGGAATGCCTCGTTTCCAGTAAAAAAGGTCTTCGGTTCTTTACACTCACCATACGAAACACAGCAGCATTAAGCTGCTATTTTACGCTGGTATTTTGTGAGAGCGTGGTCCTTCCCCGCTCGAGCCGACCCATTGGTGTTACAACTATACCAGAAATATAGCTGCAGCATGGCTCTACCACGTAATGCAGCAATTGAAATTGTGTTTTAAATTTATTTTGTTCGCGCCAAACACTTTCAAGGATTGACGCTAGAGGCGCTCGGCGCGGTGCATTCATACCGGTTTGACATTCGGTCGTGCGAAAAACGCCCAAGTGCATGTAGTCGTCCATAATCGGTGCTGACGTGAGCACGCGGTCCATTCTGTTAGGGAACTCGGAATAATTAGGCGCGGCCAGTAAATATACGGTCTATCATTGTGACGCGCATTCCTACTGGAGAGCTTCCCGGGACTTATTGTGTCTGACTCAAAACCTGCATAAGTGCATTCGGCAATATTAGATAGTGCGGCCTCTGATATTCTAGAATTAACTATTGCTTCGCGAAACGAGTTAAGTGACAGTCATCGTGACGAAAGAAGAAAGTGACTGTGGACAACCTCGAAAGGCGCCCTCAAGTTGGAGCGTTGTCGACGCTCGGGCTGCTGCCGACGGCCAAGGTCTAGGTTCAATAACCATCAGTCACACCCAGCTACACACCACATCACCATTCTTTCCCTTTCACTACACAACCACATGCGACCTGACCGACTCCGGAGGGACCAGTCGCCTTGAATAGGTAAGTAAGCTTCATCCATATTCCTTCCGGTCGACTGGCCGTAGTATAACGCTCCGCCATATATTTTAGTGTAATTAGAGAGATTCCACGTGGCCTTAGGAGGCCCGACCTACGTCTGTTCGGGAGGTCTTCAGCTCATGGGCCCCTGAAGATTGGATCCTTTAATGGAGCAGCCGTATGCCGTAACATATTTAAATGTACTTACAGTGGACTAGATCTTATATATATATATATATATATATATATATATATATATATATATATCACACGACACACTTAAGCAGCGTTTAATAGCAACTGCGAGCGATTGGCATAGCTCGATAACAAAAGAGGCCTGTCGTCGACCATTAGTTAGGTCATTTAGTTTGTCCCGATTTACGGAGTGCACCCACTCAATGCCAGACTTCTTTCCCAGACTTAACGTCGCTTTCACATGGATTCCGGATATTATTAAAAAATAATAGGTAAGTTTTATTTTTTAATAATATCCGGAATCCATCTTGAGTCAAACACTAGTCTTTCAGCCTAAAGTCAGCACTTCCGGCTACCTTATCTGCCTGGAGGGGGCACACTACCACTGTTATTGATTTGTTATTTAAGCAGTTTTGAACACCAGGTCTCGTCATTATGACACTCATGATCCACCAGGTAGCCCTTACCTGGATTCCGAATATTGATTAAAAAATAATAGGCAAGTTTTATTTTATGGTAAGAATCCATCTTGGGTGACGTGTTTGTTATCACCTGGTGCTAATAACTTATAATAGTTATTAACGGTATAATGTGTATGTAAGGTAAACAATAAAAGAATGATTGCAGGATGTACACAGCAACAAAAATTATATATTACACTACAATTACATTGTTTGATTATAACTGGCCATAATGACAATAATTTTTTAATTGTTTTTATTTCAATAATAAATTAAACTAATAATAATATTTGCTCTATCAATCAATTAATGGCATCAATGTATTTTTAAAGTAACAGAATTATTAATCATAATTTCCTATAATTCTTTTTTA